TGTCTCCAATCACTAATTCCATCTTTTGCTAACTCACTTTTTGAGGCAATTGTTTTAAACAATTTACAACAAAAGCAAAAGATTTTATCCAACTCTTTTGAGTACACGAGCCATTTCCTATCATAAATTTCACCCCTTCATAATTTTTTATCATAGTAGTGTGAGAAAAATTTTCTAGAGAGTTTGTCCTTAGGATAAGTGAGATTAGTTTCTCGAATTGGTCCCTTTTCTACAAGTAAGTCTCTCATTTCTGCATTAAGGTCATCCCAAACTCTTGGATCCTAAATATTTAAATGGAAAATACGTTTAGGAGATTCAATATTTTTCTTTACACCAATATGATCATCATTAACATTTAAATCCACATCACCACCATTTTCATGGTCTTGAGACTCATCACCAACATTTTTCTTTAAATCACCACCATTTTCATGGTCATGAGATTCATCATTAACATCTTTCTCCACATAACCACCAATTTCATGATCATGAGACTCCCCAACAATATTTTGTGACTCTTTACCAACATCATTTTCTCTCAAATTTTCAATCGACTCGTTCTTTGTAGAAATTTTTTTATTAAGAGATCCTCTTAAACTTTCGGCAATTTCGTTATCCTTTGCTTTTTTTTTTCTTTTCATATTATCAGAGAGTTGTTTCCTAAAAGACATAGCTTCGATAATTTGTTTGCAAAAATTACCAACACATGATATAACAAAAATTTCCTATTAAAATTATCATTCTAACATCTATTATATATTATTAAACACTAACATCTATTATATATTATAAAAGCACTAACATCTATTATATATTATAAAAGCACTAACACATAGTCTAACATATTTATAAAAATTGAACCTAAAAATTGGGTTTGAAATGAAATGAAATAATTCAATTCATCAACAACAACAATTCTATACATCAATTATCATATAATTTTATGTCACTTGCAAAATTTTATATTAAATTATGCATTAATAATTCAAATTTTAAAAATTAGTTTACCTCAAAACTCAAAAGGGTTGATGAATGCACTAAATGGTGAATGGCGCTGAGAAGGACCTGTCGGGCTTGGAAGCTGCAGCGCAGCAACTTGCAGTTGGGAATTGGGAAACAATGAATTTTGGGAGTTAAAATGCTGCACTTGCAGCCAAAGGAATTGGGATAAAAGAACAGAGCCAGCAGGGCAATGGGGAAACAAGGTGGGGTGGGGAATCGGGAAAAAAGGTAGATGTGTTAGGAACTTAGGGTTAATTGGGGGGGGGGGGGGACTAGTGATCCCCTTTATGTTAATTTTTTTTTTATTGCCCAAAACCTGGGCCGTTCCATCTATTGTCAAACTTGGGCTATTGCCCTCTAGCCCCTATTTTGGGCTCTGGACATTTTTGTTATACCTCATTATTTGGATTTTTTTTTGGGCTCTGGACAACTGCCTTGGTGGCACTATGCTTGGGCTGGGCCTGTTGATGGGCTGACTAAGATGCAATGCTTGTCCAAGTATTTTTTTTGGTAGGCGAATTAGGATTAGGAATATAATCATTCATAAATTGTACTAAATATTGTTCTCTTTTGGTGAACTGAAATATACTGTATTCCAAAAATAACGTTTGCAATCCTATTTGGCTTAAACTCCAAAACCCTTATTGTTCCTCTTTCCTCTAGCCTTCTCAAATTTCCTTCATGCTAATTTTCTTCTACGGCAGATTTGCTGCAATACATAAACCAAATGCCAATTCACAACAACCTCCATAACCCAAAACAACCATAAAACTCGAAAACTCGATCATCAAAATCCATATTTTTAATAAATAAAAAATCAACTCAAAAGACATCCATTACAAACCCAATTAGCACTAGTAAGTGAAACTACTTGGAAGGTGCTGGGTTCTTGGGCCTCTTTGATAGTGTGGACCAGAACAGCAGTGGCGAGAGAGCTTCAACGCTATGATTCCACAAGCAAGTGGTGGAGCAGCAGTCCTTGAAGAGCTAAAACGCGTGTGTGGGACCATGATTTTCTAGGGTCGGGGTAAGACTGATCCGAATAATGTTACCTCAGAACTCTGGTCATGGACTCACCAGCTCTAGGCGGAGCTGGATTAGACGGAGTAGGGTGCCGTTATCATTCTGCTTCAGGCATTAAACGGAGTTCAAGTGACTCCGCTGGATGACCATACTTGTTTCGCAAGACACGCGATTTGATTTGGATATGGACTCAATCAAATCTTATAAGCCTTGGAGTCCTTACAATCTAGGGATAGGCGTGCACCGCAAGTAATCACACTCGTAAGAGGATGCAATATCTACTTACTAGATATCCTATAAGATTCTTCTGGCTTTGAACAAGGATTCTATCATAAAAAACTATATCTCCCACTGTATAAATACACCAATCTAGGGTTCATCTACTGTAACACAATTTGTACATTTGAATTCTCTTGCCAACTGCTTGAGTCTAAAATGATTCACTAACTTGACCGTCATAGAGCCTTTGGCTGGTACCTTTCTAGGCCTAAGGTTTTCTTACGGTTGTTTCACTGTTTTGTAGGTTGTTCCAGACTACACGAATTTGTGTTCAACTGTCTCTCACGGAGGTGTGTAGATTTGGTTCCAATAGTGTGGTTCGAGATGTCGTTTTCCAACCCCGTAATTGAAGCGGCATCGATGATTTGCATGAAGGTCCTTAGATTATTGACCACTGTAAATGACGACTAGGATATGGAGAAGAAGGAGGTGGATTCGAGGGTGCATTCCAGCTCAACGAGGTGGCCGAAGAGGGAAAGGAAGGAGTGGAGGAAGAAAGGGTTGGGCTTCAGGGCCCTAGTGGAGAAGGGGGTGATGAAAAATATTTATAAAAAAACTAGCTTTTTAATTAGTTGTTTGGCCACGTGACACAAGTTTGGCAACCACATTAATACATATGTGAATCTTATATTTACGACATCATCACTTAACGGTTGAATAAACAAATTTTTTAACGGATGTATTAAATGGAAATGAAATAATAGTAAATATATGAGATTAAAATATTTTAAAAATATTGTATGAGGTTGCAATTGTGACCCAAATTATAAAATGTATTTTACTTTAAAATAAAATAAAATTTCAATAAGGTGGATGTTTTCTTTATGTTCTTTAATAATTAATTTTGGGAATTGTTATTAGTATTCTAAAAATCTCATTCTACATTCCAAACTTTCTATATTTGGAAAAAAAAAATACAGTTGTGAGGAATGTAGAATGTGATTTTTGGAGTGCAATAACACTTCCCTTAATCTTTTTCTTATTAGATTTCAAAGTATAAATGTTGTTGCGATGCGTGTCGCTCAAATTTGGTAATTGTTTTTGAAAAAAAAGAAGAAAATAAATAAAATCTGGTTCCGTAAGGTCCAAGGTATTATGGTTCCTATGATTTATTCACTTTTCCATTTTTTTTTTTGGGTATGTCAATGAGTATTCATCGTTAATACTTTTTGTTTTTTTTTTTAATATTTTGGACGGAACAAAGCTTTGGTTACAGATTCATCCCTTTAATTAAGAGAATTTTAACAAAACGCTTCCGGTATTGTTCACTTTAACAAAAAACTACATTTTTATACTAAAAAGTCAATCCAGGTACTATTCACTTTACCCTTTATTTTGTCCTTATCGTTATAACTCAAAATTTTCAAACCATTTTCATTAGTTTTCTTTTTAATTAAGTAGCGGCCACCGCCCAGAACCGACGAGTCGACCACCGCATCATTCCCATATTCTTGCCCATTAACTTGGAACTTTTCTTTTTCTCTTCTTTTTGTTTTTTTTTTCTTCCAAAAAATGGCACTATGTTATAAACTTATAGTAAATAATATTTTAGAGAGACAGGATGGAGGGACGGCAAAGAGACGGAAGAAGGGGCTCAATCTCTAGCGTTATTGATTTCTCCTTGACTTTGTGCATTTATTTATATTAAATAGGCAGGCTTCACTTATCCACCAAGTAATACAAATCATATAAGAAAATGATCTTCTAGATTCTATAAAATTCTTACTTCCAGTTCTAGTTGTCATGGGCAAAGAGCTTGGTAAGGTTATAGTCCACTACTCAAGCCTTTAGGGATATAAAACTGTGCGTCGATTAAATGTGAGCCTCACAAATTTAATGAGAGCATTCATGTCTTATTTCGTAAAAGTTCATGTGTTAACTCCAAAAATTTTCGATTTATTTTTAGCTTCACAAAGAATTTCTGAATTGTATTATTTTTATCCAAAGTAGAGGTATGTGTAGAATTTACAAGAAAACTATTTACAAATAATTACGAAAAAAAAAACTAATTACTGCAGGACTATAAACAAAAAACCTTAGTAACTCACAACACAAAAATCATAATCAAAACCGTTCATTCTTTTAATAATTTTAAAAAAGGAAAACTAATGAAAATGGCTTGAAAACTTTAAGTTTTAATGATAAGGACAAAATAAAGGGTAAAGTGAATAGTACTAGGATTGACTTTTTAGTGTAAAAATATGGTTTTTCGTTAAAGTGAATAGTACCGGATGCTTTTCATTAAAGTTCCCTTTTAAAAAATCATCTCTAATAGAAATTCTACAATTTGGAAACCTTTTAAACATATGTCAAAACTAGACGATTATATTTGGATAACAAACAGCATCCTCATTATAAATCATCAATTTGTTTATATGAATAATTAATGATTTTCAAAATGAAAGAGAAGGAACAAGTCAAATGATGACGTGTGTACATGACATTGTCATCATCAATAGAGAGAAAATGAGCCAAAAAGTGTCCCAATATCTGCAACAACAACGACATATAAAAAAGAAGAGTAATTCCCACAGACCTTAGCTTTTCACACTTAATATTTTTACTTTTGGACAGTAAAATTAAGAGCAAGTGATAGGAGTGTCGACGTGGAAAAGAAACACGTCAAACAGGTCACCACCTGATCCACCCGACTTCCGGGAGGGCAGTTGGGTCATTTGAAATCCAAAACCCAAGAGAGAGAAAGAGATAAGCTCTGAACAGCACTCAGCAGAGAGAGAAAGAGAGAAAGAGAGAAGGAGAGAGAGTCAGAATGGTGACAGAACAAGAGATATCGCAAGCGTTACAAGCCCTAATCCACGACTCCACTTCCAACCCTAACACCACCACCCCGACCTTCACCACCCTGAACGACGTCGTCCAGCAGCTCCAGTCCCGCCTCGGCGTCGACCTCTCCCACAAGACCGACTTCATTCGGGCTCAGATCCACTACCTCTTCCGATCCCACCCACCCACTCCCCAACCTCAACCCCAACCCCAACCCCAACCCCAACCTCAACAAATTCCTCACCCTCAGCACCCTAAAGACCATTTTTCCCTTCACCAACCCCCTAATTACCATCACCCTGCCCCCTCCGCTTTCCAGACCTTCTCCTCCCAGCCCCCGCCTCCACTCCTGAAGCCCGAGCCCGCCTCCGCCGCTCCTCCGCCCGTTTCCGGCTCTAACACGCCCAAGGAGAGGTTGGTTGCCGCTTTTATTTGTTTTTTTTTTTTTGGGTAATATCTGTTTGGTTTCCGAGAAAATTGAGGGAGGGGAAAGTGGAATAATGTTATAGGGGCTTGGCACGTTGTATTGTGTTTGGTTAATTTTGCTATGTCTCAGCTTGCTTAGCGTGAAATTGGCATTTTCTTGGACAGTTTTGTGTTTACGTAACAATTAGGGTTTAAGGAAATTGGAAATTGCACATTCACATTTAGTTTCCTAGGTTTAATTCCTTAGTATTTTCCTGCCGGCTGTTTGGTTTCCAATAAAATTTGAGCAACAAATCGAGAAAATATTGTAGGCTCAAGTCTATAAGCTTTATGCCATTTGGGAAATGAAATTTAAGCAATGGCAAGAAAATGGATAGTATGCTTTGGAGGAGTATAAGCTTTATGTTGTTTGGGGCATGGGAAATAGTGAAACTAAAACTTGAAAATTGCGCAGAGAAAAATATGCCGTTTTCAATTGCTCCCTATGCCCGGCATTGGTATTTAGGTTTACTGTAGAATGCCGTTTTCAATTCTACCCGTATGGCTCTAGATGTTTTTTGGTCTCGTATAATATGTATTGGGTCAGTCGTATATTGTATGTATGATGCATTTGTTTGCAGAGGCTATTTGGTCTCTCATGCATCAAGTTTTATTTATTTAAGTCTTGGTTTGGAAGTAATTAGGGTTACGGTGCAAAGAAGGCTTACTGACGCTCCGATTAGAAGATGCGACTACGGAACAGAGGTTCAGGTCCGAAGGGGTAGAGGAAGACCTAGGAAAACTTTGGAAGAGACTCTAAGAAAAGACTTAGAGTACTTGGATCTAACGGAGGACATGACACAGGACCGAGCGCAATGGCGTTTTAGGATTCATATAGCCGACCCCACTTAGTGGGAAAAGGCTTTGTTGTTGTTGTTTGGAAGTAATTAACAGGGAAAGCTGCTTACATGATGTAGTTGTTCTAGTAAGTTGGTGCATAATGGTTGTTTGATGTTTGGGTTAATGTTTCTGTGCATTTTATCATTTATTTGCAGCCCTAAGCCTAAATCTAAGAGAAAAGGTGGCCCCGGAGGTTTAAATAAACTTTGTGGTGTTTCGCCTGAGCTTCAGGCCATTGTTGGCCACCCAACTCTCCCAAGGACTGAGGTTCAGACTCATCCATTTGTGCTATTCGTTAAAGTTTATTTGTTATATGCCAGAAGGTTTTTTATTTTATTCTCTTTTGTATGTAATGTTGAGTACAGATTGTTAAACAACTGTGGGCTTACATAAGGAAGAACAATCTCCAAGATCCCGGTAACAAGAGGAGAATTATTTGCAATGATGAGCTGCGAGTGGTTTTTGAGACAGACTGTACTGACATGTTTAAGATGAACAAGTTGCTTGCTAAACATATTATTCCACTCGAACCATCAAGTATGTATTTCATATAACAGTTCCCTCTATCTGGGTGTATGGGGGTCACACTATTTCTGCGTGTTTTGTGGTATGGGTAAAAAATTAATACATGCCTAAGGATTTTATGTTTTGGTGCTCTCAGAACCAGCAGTTCCCAAGAAGCCCAAGGTGCCTAAGAATGCTGTGGAGTCTGCAACGAAAAGTACAGAACCGAGTCCTTCCCTGATAATATCTGAAGCACTTGCAAATTTTTTTGGTGTTGGAGTAAGGGAGATGATCCAATCAGAGGTTTTAATGCGTATCTGGGAGTACATAAATGTCCACCATCTGGAGGTAAGTTGACTCCAACTCCCCATTCTCAAAATAAATAGAAAATTATAAATTTATTTTGATTCAGTGACTGTTATATTGAAGTTTTGTGGAGTCTTTATATCTGAATAGTTTGCGTTGGTCATGCTCCAGCTGGGTGTCTTTGTCTATTTACTTTTTTAACAAAAATTTGCTCGAGGTGTATGTAAATACAATTGAGTTTGAATTTGATAGTTGATGTAAGAATTGTTTTAAGTATTTTTAGCATATGGAATTATTTCTTGCTTGGTGTTTTAATCGATATGAACTTTTGGGTGGTGTTTTAATCTTATAGTTCATATTGGTCATCCTCCAGTCGGCTTTTGCTTTGTATATTTACCTTTGTTATTTTTCTTGAGGTATAAATAAATCAACATGGTCTGAATAACTGAATCTCTGTCGCATTGCTGACCTTTGGTAGTATAGTGTGTTTAGTCTAGTTTGTCACACCATTAGTAGTTGTTTACTATGGTCTCTTGCCAATTTTTATATCGTATGTGGGATTTCTCTTTTGTTTACTCTATGAAGCATGATGATTAGTGGTCGGGATGTTTTCTGCGTTTCTCAAATGTTTACTTAATAGTCTGTCTAAGATTATTTAAGGGTCCATTTGATTACCAATTTGTTATTTGTTTGGTATGGGAATAGTATGTGGGAGAAAAAGGAGGAATGAAGAAGGGAGAAGGAAGGATGGTGGAAAATTTTTTAAAAAATGTGTATGGGTTGATACACATAATGAAAACTAAAAACCAAAAGCTGAAGACAATTTTAAGTTGTTTTCACTTTCAAGTTTTTGTTTAGTGTAATCTCCTTCATTTCGTCCTCCACCCTCCCACCACCTCCCTTCTTTTTCCATTCCTAATATCTCCCATATACTTTCCCCCTGTCTCTCTAGCACAAAAAATGAAAACGATAAACTACAAAAAGAAATGGTTATCAAACAGGCCCTAAGATACTTTTAGAACGCCATTACAAAATTGAAAAACAAAACAATTTGCACCTACACTTAATGGCATGAAGGTTGTGCAAGCATCTAATTTTTCTGTGTCTAATCAGAAAATTTTTGCCGGTCCGTTCTCCACTAATTCATTGAGACTTGATAAGTTCAGAAATCAATTGTATTAATGGTTAAACACATCTCCAGGATCCTCAAAATCAAATGGCTATACATTGTGATGCAAAGCTTCAAGAGATCTTTGGTTGCGAAACCATCAATGCATTGGAAATACCAGATATTTTGGAACGTCATCACATATTCAGGAGATGATAATAGGTTTGTAGTCCATAATCCCTTTTTCGCTTTTTCTTTTTTACAAGTAGGTTCGTGGATGTTAAATTTATCACTCATCTGTTTTGTTGTTGTAATTGTTCCTTATTTATCTCTTAATTGTACCACCCGCTTTAGTTCTCAGTAGATTCATTTTGACCGTTCATCCACATCATTGCTTCCATTCTTCTCTCCTTTTAATTAGGTATTAAATCTCGGTCCATAAGTTTTGATGGAATGTTGGTCATTGCTTGCAGTTGGAGGTCACAGGCGCGATAAAATTTGCGCCAAACCTTGTTAGAAAGTGATGCATCTCCTTGTACTTTGAACGGTTATGTAGCATATGTTTATTTTTAGGTCATGTTTGTAAGTAGAGTAATGGCACGGCAGGTCTTATTTAGCCGATGGCGCCATGGTTCGTCTGACTTGGCCAGGTAGGTTTAGAGTGAGCAGCTTCTGGAGTTTCTAACACCTGTAAAATAGCAGACACTAGAAAAAAACAGAACCAAATGTACTCACATGTTATTTAACTCATTTCAGTTTACTAATGTAACTGTTTTGCCTATGTTTAACAATGTATTCTTCCAGAACTTATCTCTCGTTGTTTTTACCGTTGCCGGGGAAAATAAAAGTAACAGACTTTTCTGTGTAAAAGAATATGTCTTTGTCATGTATGTGCAGAAATTCCCGTGACGGACTCAATAAAACAAGATTTCGCAATCCTTGTCGAAAACAATATTATTACTTAAGAATTTGTTATGGTTTGTCTAAAGTATTACTTAAGAATTTGCAATTCTTTATTAATAGTTGGGCGTCCCGTGACTTGGTTCCTACCAACTTGTTCACATGACAATCCCGAAATTTGACACAAAATTATAAACAATCCTCATCCCTCCGCTATAAATCTGCTTCCAATTACAAGAACAAAATGTGCTCCCTTGAGAGAGAGAGAGAGAGAGAGAGAATGACAAGGACTAGCAGCGTCGCGTCGTGGGCGCCGGTGATTTTGTTGCTTGCACTTGTTGCCGGATCTACGGCGGTTTCCATATGCAACATTGAATCCGACCAACTGAAGGAGTGTCGGCCGGCAGTAACCGGCAAATCACCAAAACCACCAACCAAGAGATGTTGCAGTGTTGTCCGCCAAGCCAACTTACCCTGCCTCTGCAACTTCAAGTCCGTACTCCCTTCGATTGGGATCGACCCTGCGCTGGCTATGGCGTTGCCTAAGAAGTGTGGCCTGAAAACGCCCCGAGAATGCCATGGTAAGATGCCTAAGCTTCCTCAGTGATTATTATTTGTCGATTTTTGTTGAATTACATTGGTTTCTAACTATTACTTTCTTGGGTTCACTGCAGTTGTTTGAAGCACATGAGGCTCCGATGGTTTCATTTGATTGAAATATTTACAATGTTTTCGACGTGTATTTCGGGAACATTTACCTGCTTTATTATCCAGTCCCTTACCTCTGTAATTCTCTCTGTTGGAACCTTATGCATTATGCAATGAAAAAAGTTTGGTTACTACCTCAATATACACATAGCGTTACGTTATCCCACGAATTTATTCCGCAGCCTCGACGAGACGATTCATTCCGCCCTGTAACTAAAGTAACATTGAACCCCTCAAACTCCTATTCCGGCAAATAACGCTGATGTTTTGCTTATACTATTCTACAAAATAAGCATCCTCAAAGTTAATGTACCTACTTGTAGCAACCGGGCACGGCTGTGTTTCGTGAGCGTGTGCTTTGATCGCAAGGCTCTGACAAACTTAAACCGCAGGCTTTCATTTTAACATGCGGAGTGATTGCGAATTGGTCCTCCGAACATTGGTCTCATATAGGCATCATCGAACCTCCTCCAGTAAGAGTGTATGGTGTGTACCGGACTTTCCATCAACATGGATAAATTGTCCTTTGCACGACTGATATTCGTGGAAGCCGATTCTTCAAAGGAGAGCAGAGGCAGATTCAGGTCATCCGATATGTCCTTTGACTCTTTACGCTGAATGTTGCTAGTTGCAGCGTGCGGAAGCAAATAAGTTATAAGCGGCTTCGTCAGAAAGCCAAACACCTAATGTCAAAAAGCAAAATGAGGACATCATAAAACATTTTGAGGTGCAGATTTCATACCTACTGGCATTCATAACTTTCTGGTAAAAACAATCAAGATTCTCGACAACTTGAAGGTTGTTTAAATTGTAATAGAAATCATAAAAAGAACAATGACTTACATACCAGTGTACTGAAGAGGACGACAATTATGGTGTTAGTAATCATCGTGGCATTGATGGGATCCAATGTGACACCAGAATATGTGAACTTCACGAGTGAAAAGCAGTCCGAGCGATCACACGAGTATGGTTATTCACATGACAGATACTACCAATTACTTGAAATAAAAATAATATGCACGAGCACTCGCACCTGTTTAAAAGCCAGAGCAATAGAGACTGCTCCTCTCATCAACCCAGCCCACCATATGATTACCTGCATCAATATCAAGTTTAAATCCTTTCCTAAACGAGTAAAAGGATTAGCAGCATGGGTACTAACCTGGTTCTTGAATGAAATTGACGATGATCTCTCAGCCCGTCTATTCATGTAATTGGAGACTGCTGACAGAGGGAATACAAACGCAGCACGTCCAATCAATATTAACATGAGTATCGTACTATAGATGCCCAACGAAGACCCTAAACTGCAAGAATTACAAGTTCAAGGAAAACAAGAAAAGGTACCCAAAGTTGGATGATCCAATGCATACAGAATTTAGTAAATCAATAACTTTATCAAAATTCAGGAGGAAGAGTACCTTAATTCAGTTAACTTCCACTTCTCGATGTCAAGAGCATCCATCCCCACATAAAGAAATATGAATGTTTCTGCTATAAATGACATCATCGCAAATACATGCCTAAAAATCGGAAGGCAGAGCAGTCAGATGAAATAGCTGGGAAATTATGGGAACTTTTGTAGCATTTCAATTTTATCAGATGGCCCCCGAAAGGATGTTATGGGCACTTTTTGAATTGAATATGAATTGTCCATACATGATACATGCCTGGTTGTGATTCTTGAACTTTCAGTGATGTTATGCCATGCGTAGTGTGACATGAGAATCCCACAGAAGAAAACAGTGAGAATTCCACTCAGGTCGAACAGCTGTATGTCAATCATCAATCAAAATAAGAGAGGCTTTCAGCTACACGGTGAGATAACATACAAGCTTCCAAGTTCATTTCTCCAAAATATATAATAACATATAAGAGAAGAATCCCGCACGTGCGAATGAATTATCGAGCTTGGAATACATAATGAAACATAAGTTCAAAGAAATGTGAAGTATTATGTACACTTTTTTACCTCAGCCACCATGTAAGACAGATAAGCCATTAGAACCACCAAGGAAATCTCGCGGATGCTTGAATGTCTGTAAGAGAGAATAAAATAAGACTTGTATAGGTACCATCTGAGATTCCCTACAACATCTATCAGAAATGTCCTAGCCCTGAGGGATCGTAAATATGCTACTAACCTTCCGAAGCATAAGGCTTTAAGGGCATATGCTGCCACAAGTCCAAACTGAAAATAAAACAAGAAACCAATTTGATACCACAGATAAGTGAGCATAGTATTCTGAATAATCTTTAGTGATATTATATTGCCATAATCGGTCACATGGTAAACTTACTGCAATTCCGAGAGCAGTGCTTGTAAAGAATAAGTACAGAAAATCTCCAATGACGCGAAGTCCAGTCGTGCCATTAAGCTTACTAACATCAATCTTTTGAATTGCATTGAACAGGACAACTGAGGTTGCATCATTTACCACTCCTTCCCCAAAGACTAGGCTGTATAGTAAAGGAGTTTCGTCTTGATGAAGAATCTACATAAGGTGGATATAATATCTCAGCAAATCCAAATACAGGATGGGGTCACCCAAATGAAATGAAAGAGAACATCTAAAACATGACAAACCTGCAGCGTACACACTGTATCAGTTGACGAAAAAATTGTTCCGACAGCTGTTTCAAGACAAAAGATTGATGTAAAACAAAAGTTGTCTACATGATTATACTGTTATGTAGCATAAAAGTGTCGGTTCAAATGATACAAATAGCTAATTGTTTCATCGAAAGGATTCTCAGTTCTAACCGAGATAGTCTCGCACATTCAGGCCACCAAACCCCAACTTCGGGAACAGCCACCGGGCTCCTAATCAAAAGTAACATGCAGAAATGTTCAGTTCTACAGAAATCTATGGTAGCTAGCACAATGCAAAAGCAAACGTTGGACATTAATTTAACGAATCGAAATAAAACTAGTATAAAATATGTGAAAAAGAACAGATTAAAGTGTTACCAACTGTTATGATGAATACTGAAATGAAAACACCAATCACCCCAAACATCATGATGGTTAAGAAGTTCTGAAAAAACTTTTTCTTCTTGACCTGGAATCTGCGTTGGTCGTAAATTAACTAGGTAAGCGAATTTGTCTCTAAAAGTTTCTATGAATCCAGCAAGCAGATTAATTAAAACAGGAATATTATAATCAATACGAAAGCTGAATTACCCAGCATTGAATATAATTGGTGGGAGGAGATATATAAAGAACAACTCTTCATTAAATCGCAGGATGTGAGAACTCTTTCCTTTGCTCACAAGCAAGATTATAGTTCCAGTTATGCATCCCTGTTTGAAAAAAAAAAGGAAAAAAACACTTTAGACAATGGACATGCTTAGGCCGGCACCGAACCTATCAATCTTCCAAATGCAAATTAATATCCCCAATATACTTCTCAGCAGCTGGTCTATCTGATTTAGGCATTTCAAATTCATTAGCTCATTTTTTTACCTACATGTATGAAAACTTAATTTTGTAGTAGACTAGGTGGAAGGGAAAAAAATAGGGGTACTCATTAAACTTGTTATATATGAAGGTCGTAACCAATTGTTAGTACACCCATTTTGGTGAACATTAACAACGCACATTTTCTCAGTTTGATACATATGCAAAAATAACTCTTACTAAAACAACAAAATATATATTTGTAGACTTGTACACACATCTCGAACTGTGATTTTATGGTCTAGTTAAGGTATCAGCACACACAATGTAGTATTTAGTGTAAACTATAAATTGATGATATGGCTGAATAACATAGGGGAAAACAATGAAAATGGAGGTTAATTAGAGTATAGATTAACCTAAATATTCTAACCATTGAAAACCAACGCGCACACACGCAAATGAAATTGAAGAAAATGGGGTTAATTAAGTAAATACGATGATAATGGCGGTGATGGATTCGTTAACCCATCGATTTTCTTCGAACAAGTGGCCGATGACTAAGCAAAGGCAGAGAACCGCCACAAAGAGTGAGACTGGTATCACCTGCGCATGCTCGCGGGCCAAGTTCTTTGCAAACTCATACGCTCCTGCCTCCATTTCTCAGCCTTCAACTAAAAATTAACCAGCTAGCTGTAGTACATCTGCATCCCCCACTAACCGACGTCGTGAGTATATATGACAACTGCAGAACTGTTAAAAACTGATATGCTTTCCTGTGAGATAATCTGATCACTGTCTGTATTCTGTACTCTGTGAGGGGGAGAGAGAGAGAGAGAGAGAGAGAGATGAGCCGACGAGGTTTGTTGTTTTGCCTGGTAAACGCAGTGCAGTTGAGTGTTCGCAGTTAAGGTTGACACGTGGGTGAAAATTTGCATGTGAGCGACACGTGGAGGTAGCCCATGACATTAGTCTGGGGACTTGGATATGGTCAAATTAGCATGCATGGAGATTCTTGTGGGTTGAGAGAATCATATGTCACGTCATGTCGTCCCATACAAATCAGTGATCACTGTCACTGTAAACTGCAGTCTGCAGAGGATATTTTTTGTCCAATTTGCTCGATTCCCCAATTTTTTGTTGTTTTCCTTTCCTTATGTTGGATTGTTGCTTAATAATTGGGACTGTCTAATTTTTAGACATTTTTATATAATTAGTTTTAAAAAAAATTAGAAATTGTTTAATTTCTTCGATTAATGGTATTAAAATTTTGAATGTTTAAAGGAGAAATATGGTTCCTTTTTTTTATTAAGATAACTGTTACATACTAAATTAAGTTGTTCATTGTGAAATGAGAGGTTTAAGATTCGAATTTCGTGGATGACGAATTTGATATTAAATTAGGTTGTCCATTGTGTGGTTTAACCGAACTCCTTATTCCCTTAGTGTAAATTATATCGATGTACTAAAAAAAATCGTTAGCTGACTAGATTGATAGAGACCAATAAAGGTCAAATCATCTTACCAAATGAGAAAAAAACTAAAAAAAAAAAGAATAAAAATCATAAACTAAGAAGGGTGCTAGCATTTCGAGTCCAGATTTTCTGCATCCAAATACCTATGTGGCTCCTCTAAATTTGCGACATGTGTCCACCACTTACTAATCTGAACTCTATTATTTTTTCTGTTATCCTTAAACTTCTGTTATCTGCTATATTTTTGGAAAAAGAAATTGCAAAAGGCATACAATGTTCGGACTCTTCCAAATATCCCTCTGTCGCACGACTATCCTTCTTCCCTGCTATGGCTTCCAAAGTTCTCCGTTCCCAAGACCAAGCATTGAACCATGGAGCCAAATATCCATATGCATAGAGTAGAGCACGACTCTGGAGAATGAGCTACTGTAAGTAAATTTTTTTCTTATTTTATTTGTGAATGGACATATGTGAAAAGGTCGAGATAGATTAGTCAGTGGAGATGGTTGTTTTTTTTTTTCATTATTGACCTTTGCCCAGATTTTGGTCTTTCATTCCATTTCGATTATGGTCTCAGAAGCATCATAATTAATTGTGCACAATCTTTCTTTTTACTTGCAGAATATGGACATCACAACGAACTTCATAGAGTATCAAACTAAAGCACATCGTAAGTTGGATTTCGAAGGTGATATTTCTCTGAATAATTTTGTTGAAGGCAAGTGCAGTGACAAAAAGTTAGAAGATATAACGGATAGTGAAAAGATTGTTTTGATTCATTCCAAAATACAAAAAGAATTCATTCCAACAGTTGGCTTGGAGTTTGAAATAGAAGTTCAAGCATACAATTTTTACAAGACTTGTGCATATCATGTTTGTGGAGCCACAAATAAACGAGAAAAATATGGAGGCGACATGTGGATTCTAGAGTAAAAAAGATAAAATTATCCTCGAGGCACACTGAAGCTTCTACGCGCAAGCAGTGGGAAATCATCCCTCAATCAAGTCAAAAGTGCCCAAAATAGGTATTTATTTATAACATATTTCATCCATCCCTCATCATATATTCTCCACAAGGTAACCCCTAAATCATTCCCTTTTTATTATATTAATTAGCTAATTAATTGATTAATTATTCAATTAATTTGCTAATTAAACACAAATCATGAACTTCACCCACAAAACCATCCAAGTGGCCGGTCCATCTCCTCCCAAGGTGGCTTGCCACATCCATACATAAACACCCTCATTCTCTCCAAAACTCAATTTCAACTCTCTTGCAAAATTCTCTAAATTCTCTAAACACTTTTCCCTCAAAATTCTAACTTTGGCATCAGAGGTTCTTCGGCCAAAGCCCCCCCCTTAATTCATCGTGGGCGCTTGAGGCTCTTGGCAATGACCTAAGGTGTTATTTGTTTTGTAGGTGCAATTTTGTCCAAGAACAAGGAGGACGAAATTTGCATCCAAAAATTGGTGCTTTCATTGAGAGTTTGATTTACACGCTCGAAGAAGACTTTCGCATTCAAAGTTTCTCGTTTCTCGTTCGTTTGTAAATTTTTCATACTTTCTTATTCCTTGAACTTTTTAATTCTTTGAATAAAGGTGAGGAAAAATACAATGACGGGAAATTCAGAAACCACAACGAACGAAACTTTCTACGTTCAAAGATTCGGATCAAATGATGGAGGACGAGACGTAGCCCCAGCACGACGATCCATAAGGCTCAAAGCGATGGCAAGAGGATCAACTTTGCCACCATAGAGCACCACTACCATGGTAGCCACAGGGACCACCGTGGCAGTGAGGAGAGGGCTAACTCCATGGCAGTAAGCCCATGGTGAGTAGCGAGCAGTGAGGCAGCCACAAGCCCAGGCGCTATAAGCAGCCCAGGCGCTATAAACAACCCAAGTCACTGCCCCAACAGCTCAAGCCCAAGCCTCATCCACTTGGTGCACGACCCAATCTGCAGCCCACGCTGCAAGGTAGCCGAGCTTGGCCCAGCGCGAGCAGGCCTGAGCCACTACCTTAGTAGCGCAAACCCAAGCAGCTGTGGTAGGAGAAGCAGCCTAGCGCTCGTGGGCCCAAGGCTAGTAGTAGCCCAGCGCTCTAAAGCTAAGCATAGGCCCAACATGCACACGCACTGCAGCCCACTCCCGTGGTGTCCCAAGCAGTCCAAGTCGATCCAAGACTAGTTCAACCGTCCTGGCTACAGATTTCTGGACTGACGATTGAATCGGGGTATTTTCACCCAATTTCTCTGCAGATTTGACATCCTAACTCAAATCTCACGCCTGGAGTCCATTACATTTCCACTACTCAAAAAGATGTATTATGTCCAAGTTCTTCCAACCCGAATGGCGAACAACATTTGTCTCGACAAGTTATAGAGTTGACAAGCGCCCTCGCACAGCAGACAACCTTGGTGAATCAGCTCTTGCAGCATACTGAAATGCAACGTGCCCCAGACGAGGTGTCCTAATGTAGGACAAGGGTAGGCGATGAACAACTCCAACAGCGTCCCAATAAGCAGCCACTTGACCAGTCACGAACCGGAGTCTTCTGACAGAGTACACTCTCAATTGGGCCCCCAAGATAGTGTATACTCTCGTCTAAGCATGCGGATGAGCGTGCATTCTCAGTTAGGCCCACAGATAAACATACACTCATGGTTGGGGCTATACTCCTATAATCAACATAAGCAATTTTCCACACTAAGTGTTCATTCGCGGCAAGGTTGGAGTAGACAGCACAGCGGAAAGAGAGGAACTTCTTGAGGCAATCGAGGATCGTCTTATGGGATGTTTCGACCTGCCCATTGCCTTAAGGATATCTTGGAGTGGACATATGCTGCTTGATGCTATACTTTTGGAAAACTTCACCAAATCTTTGCCTACAAATTGCAGGGCGTTGTTTGTGATGATGGATTGAGGGACGCCAAATCAGCAAATGATTTTCCTCCATATGAAGCGTTATATGTCCGCCTGTGTCGTGGTAGTCATGGGCTCTGCTTCTACTTATTAGGTGAAGTAATTGGTTGTCAAAATCGTCATGCCTTTGCCCCCAGTAACGGACGACATTGGCTCTACCAAGTCGATTGCCCACTGCATGAATAGCCAAAGACTATTCTACCAATGTAATTTACTGGTAGACAGTGCTGGTACCGGCTTGTAGTGTTGGCAGCGGTCATGCATGGTAGGCCAGTAGTAGCCTGCGTTTAAAGCCTTCTGTGTTAAGGATTGGCCTCTAGAATGATTTCCACAAACGCCTTCATGGATTGAGCTTAGAACCTTTAGGTCGTCGAGAGACGCTAAGCAACTGAGATGTGGTCTGGTGTAGGATCTTCGGATGAGAATGTCGTTCCACATGTAGTACGTGTTGCCTTTATTTGGAGCTTTATAGACTCCAATCTTTCCATGGGGAGTGTGTTATTGACCACGTAGTCTATCATGGAATCTTGCTAGTTTGGAGTTGTACTAACCTATGACACCTCGACTACTGGCCCCACTTCTATGCTCGGCTTGTCTAGATACTCCACCGAAATATAACGTTTGAGATAATGGTCGAGGACGGAGCCTAGGCAGGCTAGTACGTCTGTATGAACGTTGTTTGCATGCGGAACTTGAGTGATGGTGTAAGTCTGAAATGCCTCAAGTAGTTTAGCTAGTGATTAGTTGGGAATTGGAATGAATTGCGAGTTTTTTCACTGCCAAGGTTTTTGCCATTCTGAGGCCTACTAGTAGGGCCTCGTACTTTGCTTCGTTGCTGGATGTTTTGAAGCCTAAAGTGATCGCCTGTTTAGGCATTGAACCGTCTGGGGTGATAAATACCACGCCTATTCCTGAACCTTTGTAGTTGGATGCGTCGTCGACGTGCAAATGCCAAAAGTCTCCATTGGGTGAACCAGGCGTGGCTAGGCTAGGCGTGAAGGTGCGGTAAGGAGCCGTGGAGCTAGGGCCATGTTACACATAGCATGAGATGCTCAACTGCCGGTATCGGGCCGCTTTAGAGTTGAATTATGGAGCAAGGGTCGGTTGGGGCTGTGTGACGCGCAGCAGGAAGTGGTACTCAACTTACCGGTACATGTTGCTCCTATGTAGAATCTTTTGGGGCGACGAGGAAAAAACTTGCTTCTGAGTGTCTTTCTAGTGTTCGTTTGTGCCTTTTGAGCTGAGTTGTTGCGTTCGTCAAAAACTTTTGCACCACCAGTGTCTGTGCCTTTATCGTCGTGCGTCTAGATTGGGTGAAATAGTGTGTCATGAAGATGACTGCGTGCGTCTGAAGGTATAACTTGAGCTTCCCGGTTGCAACAACTGTCACTAAAGTTAGCTTTTGAATTTCTAGTAGTTGGTTTCCGCATCAATAAGAGC